GCTCCTATATTCTGAATCGGCTAAGATTCTAGATATGGTGTTTTGTTTCTTGGACTTCCAAGATTTTAGTGAATCACCAAACTTGACAAGGAAACATGTTATAGATTTGTGAGAATGTGGACAAGCTGCCAGTCAGCATCATAGTAGGTTGTGATCCTCTTGTCAGCTTTACTTGTTAGAAGTACTCCTTGTCCAGGCTAGTTTTTCACATACTTGACCACTCTTAGGGCAACTTTAAGATGTGATTTCTTTGGTTGATGTAGGAATTGACTTAAGGTTTTCACATTGAATGCAATGTCTGGTCTTGTTATGGTTAAGTAGAGTAGCTTGCCTATAAGCCTCTGATAAGAGCTTACATCAAACAGTAATTCATCCCTCCTGGCTTATTGATCAGGTGATCATCAAACTCTTTTGTAGTGAGTTTTACATTGGTTTCAAGTGGTGTAGCTCCTGGCTTTGCTGCTCCAAGTCCTAGATCAAAGATAAGTTCTAGAGTGTATTTTCTCTGGTACATTAAGATCTGTAGACATGTGATTTTTGACCCTCCCCAAGATTTTTTATATTTTAGCATGTAAATATTTAGTTTAGGTCTAATATCGCTACTTTAACTAGTTTTGACCCTTTTACTTTATTTTATCACAAAAATGAAAACTACATAAAATATTTTCTGTTATTTAGCTAATTAATATTTTATTTACTTACTTTTAATTTATCTACCTTACAGAAAATTCAAAAAATACAAAAAATAGTTCCACTTTGTTTTCAGGAATATTATTTTAATTTTTTAATTATTTTTCCATTTTTATCTTTTAGTATGCTATTTGAAAAATAACAAAAATAGTTTCACAATATAGTATTTTTATTTTAATCAATTAGAGTTAGTTATGTATTTTATAGTATAGATTTTTACATTATTTGTATAAAAGAATTAAGATTTTGGGTTGGAAAGGTCCAATTTCGAAATCCCAAATTTTGAGCACAAACTTGGCCACTAATGGCCCATTCTTCCCAACCCATTAACCCACTTTTCACTTAAATGCAAGATTTAATCTTAGCCATCTATTCCCCTTCAATCTAATGGCCCATGTGAATTCTTATACCCCTTCCGGGGGTAGAAAAAGGACGTGTGATAGCTCTGGCGACTCTGCTGGGGAGAATAACCCAGAACTTTTGGTTCAAGGTTCAGAATTCGAGCTTAGAATAATTGTTATAGTTGGCCTTTGTTTATTATCTAATTTTTACGTGTTTGAGCCTAATATGCTAAATGTCGCTTTTTACCGCTTTGATATTGTTTGAACTGTATATAAATTGTTACGAAATCCTCTTCTCTCTGAGTCTTCTAAATCATCTGTGAAGTGTGCACTTCGTGTGACTTCTTTTCTGTTATAGTCATATCCCAATTTTAGAACGAGGTTCGGACAAGTTGCAAAGCCGGTGAAGCTTCTGTATTCCCGGTATGCTGCCCCCCTCGGCNCCCCCCCCCGGCTCAAGCTGTCCGCTCGAGTAAGCCAGGTCTAGAACAATACACCCAGGTTTTAAACCTAGAATGACATAACCTCATGCCGGATCCCTAGTAGGAACGTTTATTTGCATCATGTGCATTTGACTTAGGGGACTCAACACAGGGGTTGGGTCCGTCTAGGACAGGTGTACCCAAAAATAAAAGACCATCCTGATGCATTCTGCGTGCTACATGTTGCAATCTTCAAGGGTAAAAGGGTCATTTGGCGGACCAATGATAGTTGAGAGCAAATGAAAAAAAAGAGGGTGAGATATAAAGACGAAGCAAGTAGGGCCCAGTTATAATTTTCTTTCACGCTTTTTCAAGAAAAGACCAAAAATTAAAAATGAAAAAAAAATCCAAAAAGATTTTGCACTTTCCCATCATTTTTTTTTTCTTTGTTTCAAAAACAAAAATCAACAAAAAAAGAGGAAAAAGAAAATCCAAAAACAGTTTACATGTTTCATCATTTTAAAAAAAAAAGACAAAAAATGTATTTTCTCTAAATTAGTTCTTTTGTTTAATTCTTGCCGGTATCCAATCTTCCCGAGTTACGCATACCTGATTCTCGTCTTTCGGGGCGTGATACGTAGGCAACCCACATAGGGTCCGGTCTTCCTAGTGAGTCTTAGGTTCTTGGCTTCGCGGGGTCTTAGCCAAATCTTGCACTTCTAGCCACCTTTAGGCCATATAAGCCATTTTGCAAAAATAGCCTCAATCATATCTTGCATGTGTCCCATAGGAAGTTTTGTTGTCTCGCATAGTGTTTTAAGTCTTTAACTCTATTTGGTCTTATTTTTCTCATACAGGAGTGGATCTACTTACCAGAGCTTGAGCATGACAGACGCCCTAGTACCATCCAGTCAAGATCGCTCATTCAGGAGTTGCTTAAGGAGATTTTTATTTATTTATTTATTTTTATGTTTTGAGTCTGTTTTTCTTTTTATGTTGTCTTTCACCTTCTAATTTTGTACAGTAATTAGAGTCTTTCATAGTCTAGTTAAGTTTTTCGAGTCTTTTGTTATTGTAATTCCTATTTTGTATTTGAAAAAATGTGTTATAAATCAAAAAAAAAAAGAAGAGATTTTTCATTCTTATATTTTCGTTAGAAATTTTCTTTAGAATACCAATTCTAGAAAATTAATTTTTAAAAAAATTTCTTTTGAGGTGGTTTCCCTTTAGGAAATTAACATCTAGAACTCAAAATAAAAAATTGCTTTTATATTTCCTTTAGTATATTGATACTAAAATTTCAGCAAAAAAAAAAAAAAACAAAACAAAAAAAAGAATTTTCTTTTGATACCTCTTTAGAAGTTTTCTTTAAGATATCAATTCCAAAAATCCAAAAAGATTTTCTTTTGAGGTTTTCTTTGGGAAATTAATGAAAAACAGAAAAAAATATATACTTTTTATTTTTACTAGAATTTCAGGACATTGTACATAGAAGAAAAACAAATTAACATACTTTATCTTTGGTTTATATTCAGAATTTCTCCCTTAGGCAATCAAAAACTGAAATCCAAAAACATTTTTATCTTTTTCATTTCTTGTTTCGAAATCTTTCTTCAGGATATCAAACGAAAATTCAAAATATTTTTCTTTGGTACATTCTTTAGATTTCCTTCCTAAAAAAAATCAAAAATATTTTTCTCTTCTGGGTCGTTTTCCTTAATAAATTTCTCAGAGTATTTGTTTCAAAAAAAGGATATATGCTCGTTTAAGCTTGAGCTTAGAACATGTTATAGAACATTAAGTCTAGAAAATTCAAAAAAAAAAAAGAGATTTGCTTCTTTTATTTCTCTTTTCTCATTAGAATAGTCATTAATATATATAAAAAAAAGAGAATGTTAGTTTGTTTACTTTATTCTCGATCTTCCCGAACTACGCAAAGATCTGATTCATGCGGCGTCATGATACGTAGGCAACCTACATAGGGTTCGATCGGATCATTTTTTTTAAAATTAAAAGAAAAAGAAAAAGAAAAGGGGGGAAAAAAGAAAAGGAAAAAAAAGAGGTGAAATTATGTGATGTGAGAAATGAGAGGAAAGAAAAGAGTGATAAATAGAAGAGAAAAAGAGGAAGGAAAATGAGCAAGCCAAGAAGTACTAGAAAAGAAAGAAAAGAGAAATTGAAATGAACAAAATTGGGATGATGCCAGGTGACCCTGTGACCCTCGAATTCATGTTAGAACCGATAACTGTGACTAGGTGCATTGCACATAATGTGAGATTATCTTATGTTAAATGCCCTAGCGCTAACGTGATGACTTCATCTTTATAAAGCAGAAGGGTGGTTGGTTTGTGGTTCTTAAAGTGGTAACTCTTCTCTACAACATAAAGTTGAAAGGCAATGGCAGATGACAACAGAATTGAGTTGGTTCATACTGGTACCCGAAAGCAATTGGTTGAATAGGACACTGGGTTGGTTGAGGAGTTAATGATGTTAAGACAACACATGGCGGGCATGTATCAGGCTTGGATGACTGGGAGGGCACCACCCCCGCCACTACCTAGCTTCCTAGATGTTACCTTACCCAAACTCCGGTCATAGTACCAGATGATCCCCTATACTCTCCAGATTCTCCCGCTTATCACAGTTTTCCCAACCACCCTAGTAGCTCCATCACTTGTCCTCCAACTACCTTACCCAAAAATTGCCATCCTGTCATATCCACTATCCCCACGATCACAACTTCTCAACAATCTTCCCTTCATAGTTCTAACAATGAACACCCACTCAAAACTCATAATGCCTAATATTACCCCTCAGAGGTTGCCCACAAGGTCCCTGACTCATATAATCATAGCCCACAGAATGAGCCTCATGTTGACGATGAAAAGGTCACAGGAAAAGAACAACGAGATGAGATATCCAGGAAGCTGAAAGGTATAGAACAGTCCTTAAGGAGCATGCAAGGGATGGGAAATCAGATTAACATGCCTTATAACGACTTATGTATGTTCCCTGATGTTCATCCGCCCGCGGGGTTTAAAATGCCAAATTATAACTTTTATGATGGGCGTGAAGATCCAGTAGCCCATCTGAGGGGTTATTGTAGTGAAATGAGAAGTGTTGGCGGGAAAGATGATTTGTTGACGGCGTATTTCAGTGAGAGCTTGACTGGGGCAACCTTGGAATGGTATACTCGTCAAGACGTCAATAAGTGGCATGCACGAGATGACATGGCTCAAGATTTTGTTCGACACTTTCAATACAATCTAGACATTATCCCATACCGCCCCTCCCTATCTAAGATGGAAAAGAAACCCGAGGAAAGTTTTAGGGAGTTTGGGCTCAGATGGAGGGAACAAGCTGCTCGGGTCAGCCCCCTAGTTGGTGAAGAAGAAATGGTTGATCTTTTCATTTAGCTAGATCTCTAAAGTAGAAATCCTACCATGAAAGTTGTTAAATGCCTTATTACTATGATTTTTGAGGACTCCTTTGGGAATATCTCATGAAAATTATTGTTTTTTTTTAACATAAAAGTACGATATTCATATTACTTAAAAGACAAATTACATGAGTAAGACATAGTCTTAAGGGCATTACTATTGCCCATAGTTGCTAGGAAATTACAAACATCCGTAGAGATAGTTCTTAAACTATTACAAGATTCATGCTTGTCTTTTCGAATATCTTCTTGTACAAAAAAAGGTGGACGAGCATGGTAAACAAATTTGTCACTGGGAGGTTTCTTCAAAGCTTCCTTGCCCAGTCGATGAGCTACTTCATTTCCTTCCCTAAAGTTATGCCTCAGTAATGGGAGCTTCAGTTGGTGCACTAACCATCTGCATTCAAGAATAACATTTTGAAAGTTAGTACAGTCCTCATGTAGTAGTTTGATGGCATCCGTGCTATCAGTTTCAATTTCCATGTTTGTGTCTTTAAAGTCTACTGCAATATTTAGCCCTTCCAGAAGTGCTAGTAATTCTGCATGAATTGGGGAGGCAGCATGTGTCGCTTTTTGATATCCCAAAATCCAATCACCATTACTATTGCGGAATAGTCCACCAATTCCTGCTGCATTATTAGTAGAAGATAAAGCGCCATCACAGTTAAGTTTAATAGCATTTTTTGGTGGTTTGTACCACCTAGTCTCAATGGGAATTTTCTTGGCTTTAAAAGGGTTCTTTTCAGTGAAAAAGATATATTCCCATGCAAAATGCATGGGTTTTTTTCAGTCGAAATGGCAGCGAAGGTTATTAAGATTATTGTTATTCCTGTTTTTCCAAATTTCCCAAATGCAAAAAGGAAAAAGAGTTTGCCAACTAATCTTATGAGAATTTTGATTAATGAAGACATCACGAAGGTCACTAAGCCAATTAATATCGCCCATAGTGTTATGGTAGCTGATGCCCATGGCTTTCCAGAATTTTTGGGTTGAGGCACAGTTTAAGAAGATGTGTTGGATGCTCTCAGTGCCCATTCTGCATGTAGTGCATGTGTCATCCACATTCATACCAATTTTGTGAAGATAAGCTCTACACGGAACACGGTTGTGACAGCACTTCCAGAGAAAGATTTTGATCTTGTTAGGACAATGTAGATCCCATATCCATTTATAATAATTTGAAGGAGTGTAGGGATTATTAAGAAGTTTGTAGCAAGACTTTGTGGAGAAAATACCATTAAAGCATAGTTTCCAACTGAGATCATCCACTTTGGAGTTATTGGAGGGGGTAGGAGTGAGACTAATATTGTGAATAACTTTAGGGGGTAATTCAAAGCTAATTTTACTTAAAAATCCCAATTATTGCCCCTAGTTAATTTGCCCAGGGAAAGATCACATTCACTTCTGTTAAGGGGGCCCTCAATAGAGCTTCTAAGGGTAGAGGAGTTGTAAATCCAATTGTTATACCAAATGTTTAAGCTTGAATTTTTTGAGGGATGCCACAGAATTCCTTTGTTGCATAGTTTCCATCCTTGGAGGATGGATTTCCAGATGAAAGAATAGTTTGTGATAGCCTTTGGGTGAGCATACTTGGACATGATAAGGTAACACCAAGGTAATGAAGGATTTTTTATGAGTCTCCACACAAGGCTTGAAAGGGAAACCAAGTTCTTATGTTGTGCCTTGTGAATACCTAATCCACCTTCCTTTATATCCTTGGTGATGGTATCCCAATTAATGAGATGAAGCTTTTTAGAAGTACTTGTAGTGCCTCAAATAAAATTCCTTTGAATTTTATCAATGGATTGAAGGGTTTTAGAAGGAAGGAGAGTGTACTGCATTATGTGCGAGGGGATTGCTCCTAGGGTACTTTTTGCTAGTGTAGTACGCCCAGCCATATTTAGAAAGGAACATTTCCAATGAGAGAGTCTAATCTGTAACTTATCCAGGATGAATTGGAAGTCTTTGGCTTTAGGATTTTTACTAAGGATAGGGAATCCAAGATATTTAGCAAACTCAGTGGTGCATTTTATGCCAAAAAGAGAGTTTAGGTAGATTAAGTGCTCTTTTGGGCAATTAGGAGGGTGTGACGATTCGTCCGGTCGTCTTAAGAATTAACGCCTCGATCCCCTATTAATTGCTTCCCCTAAGTTCATTTCTGCTATTTTGGGTTGCCGGGACGTTCGGTGTTGAGTTTCGGAGAGTTTTGGGACACTTAGTCCCTAAATGAGAGCTTAAGTGTTGAAAAGTGATCCATAGTCGGAACAGTATGAAGACAACCTTGGAGTGGAAATCCGATGGTTCCGTTAGCTCCGTTAGGTGATTTCGGGGTTGGCAGCGTGTTCGGAATGTATTTTGGAAGTCCGTAGCTCATTTAGGCTTGAAATGCCGAAGTTTGAATTTTTGAAGTTTCCGGTCCGATAGTGAGATTTTGATCCGAGGGTCGGAATGGAATTCCGGAAGTTGCAGTAGCTCCGTTATATCATTTGGGATGTGAGTGTAAAATTTCAGGTCATTTGGACGAGGTTTGGTTAGGTTTTTGATCGAAAGCGTGTTTTCTTAGAATTTGAAATTCTTAGGCTTAAATCCTTGTTTAATTCGAGTTTCCGGCGTTGTTTTAGGTGGTTTAAGGATTTGTACAAGTTTGAATGATGTTATGGGATATGTTCGTAGGTTTGGTTGAGGTTCCGGGGGCCTCGAGTGTGTTTCGGATGCTCAACGGATCATTTTTCCTCTTATTTTATCTGTTGTAACTGCTGCTTCTGATATCCTTCTACGCGATCGCGATCGTTCTCCCGCGATCGTGATGCCTTGTTGAAGACCACCTTGAAAACCTTAATCCCGTTCGCATTAAGCCTTCTGCAATCGCGGAGGCCTATTTCTCTCTTCTTCGCGATCGCATCTCTCGTCCCGCATTCGCGTAGTGTAAATTGAGACTTGAGGGCAGTTGCCACTTTTCTCTTCGTGATCGCATGAGTTCCTACGCGATCGCATAAGCCATCATCTCATTTTCCCTTCGCGATCGCATCATTCTTCACGCGATCGCGATGTACAATTCTGGGCCTTATCGAATTTTCTCTACGCGATCGCGACCATTGTTCCGCGATCGCGTTGAACAAAATGCCTGGGCAGTTATAAATGTTTCAAAAACGAGGGTTAGCCATTTTTATCAAAATACAAGCTTGGGAGCTCGGATTTGGGAGAAATTTCGAAGGGTTTTCGAGAGCAACTATTGGGTAATAATTCTCTACTCTCTTATGCTTAATACCCACTAATCTAATCACAAATTCATCCTTAATTTCGGATTTTTGAATGAAAAAATGGGTAAAACTTCATAGGCTAAACTATTGAGTTTTGAGTCAGTGTTTGACCTTCGATTTGGGAGATTTTTATATGGTTAGACTCGTGAGAGTACGAGGGTTCTGAAAATGTGAAAATTATTCGATTCCGAGATGTTGGCCTGAAGGGCATTTTGGTCATTATACCTAATTTCACGCCTTAGCGTTGAGTTAATTAGTAGAATCAGTTGCTTGCGATGTTATTTACAATGTGTAATTGAATAGATTTGGGCCATTTGGAGTCGGATACTCGTGGCAAAGGCGTGGTTTCTAATTGATTTTGAGCCGGTTCGAGGTAAGTGGCTTGTCTAACCTTGTGTGGAGGACCTTTCCCCTTAGGATATGATATGTGGTAATTGAGTGCCTTGTACGTGAGGTGACGAGCGCGTACTTGAGCTAATTGTTGAAAAATCCGATTTTTACTTAAGATATTGAGACTGAGTTTCCTTCATATTTGCTTTGTTTTACTTGCAGTTATAACCTGTGTTAGATTAGAAAAGCATGTTTAGTTGAATTAACTTGCCTAATTATTTAAGTTGCCTTGACTGTACTACGTGAAGCATGCTAGGCTAGTACTACCTGATGTTTGTCTTTTCTACTTCATTTCTGAATATCTTCTGGTTGTGGTTGCGCATTTACATTGGGACTACGGATGTGGGATTCCGGTAGCTTCCCCCCCCTCCCTTGTTTGTTTACTTTGGGACTGCGGGTTCGGTTCCCGATAGATCCCCCTGCACATTTACTTTGGGACTGCGGGTTAGATTCCCGATAGATCCCTCTGCACATTTACTTTGGGACTGCGGGTTAGATTCCCGATAGATCCCCCTGCACATTGATAGCTGGACTACGGGACGGTATCCTGGGAGATCCTTCGGATATACACATATGATGGACTACGGGACGGTATCCCGAGAGATCCACTGGACAGTTGAGAAAAGGACTACAGGACGGTATCTTGGGAGATCCTCATTGTTACCATTGGTATTGAGCTATACTTATTCTGTGGTTGCTCCGTTCTTTGTGTATTTGATATTGCCTTGTTTAGCTTGTTTTATTCCACTGCCGTACTCACTATTACTACTTATTTTCATACTGTTGATTTATATTTTATTGCTTAACCTCAGTAGGGCCCTGACCTTCCTCGTCACTACCCAACCGAGGTTAGGCTTGGCACTTACTGAGTACCGTTGTGGTGTACTCATGCCCTTCCTGCGCATGTTTTTCATGTGCAGATCCAGGTACCTCCACTCAGACGCACTATATTTGAGGTGGGGGAGAGCTACGGAGACGTCGAGGTATATCTGCAGCGTCTGCAGACCGAAGATTCTCCTTCCTTATTCTATCTGTAGTATTTAGATTCTATCATACTTTTGATGTAGACTTTCTGGAGATTAGAGCATTTACAGTATTTCTACTAGCCGGTGCTTCCCGTGAGTTTTCGGGTTTTGGGATTGAGTTGTAGACTTCCGTATTTATTTTGAGTTGTATAGGCCCAGCGGCCTTATATGCAGTTATTATTTTAATATGTTCAGTTTTAATTAATTATTCCGCAACTTAGGTTGTTATTTCCGCATTGTTAGGCTTACCTAGTTGTAGGAACTAGGTGCCATCACGACATGTTCATGGAGGGTGAACTGGGGTCGTGACAAGTTGCTATTAGAGCTCTAGGTTCATAGGAGTCACGGAACACAGGCCGGTTTATTAGAGTCTCGCTGATCGGTACGGAGACGTCTGTACTTATCTACGAGAGGCTATGTAACTGTTAGGAAAATTCCACTTCATTTGACTTCCCTGTCGTGCGAGATTTTTGACATTCATAATTCTAAACTTCTGCCTTCTATTCTCTCACAGATGGTGAGGACACGTGCTACTCGAGATGATCAGGCAACCGCGCCCCCTACTGTAGCCGTCAGAGGCCAGGGACGGGGTAGAGGCCGAGGACGCGCCCGTGGTGCAGCGAGAGCACCTGCGCGAGCTACCGCCGAGGTACCACCAGCAGATCCAGCCGGAGTTCAGGCACCTGACACGCCTACAGCTACCACTACTCCAGCCTTTCAGGAGACTTTAGCACAATTCCTGAGCATGTTTGGTACATTGATTCAGGTTGTACCGATTACTTTACAGATCGGGGGAGGGACCCAGACTCCTGCCGCCTCCACTCCAGAGCAGCGAGTTTCCATTGGTCAGGTTCCAGGTGTCATGCCGACACAGCCTGTGGTCCCAGTTCAGCGGGTGGTGAGTACCACTGGCCGAGTAGAGGATAGGTGGGTCCAGGAGAGAGAGGACAGACGAGGTCAGGAGGGAGAGTATAGAGGAGTGAGTAGACCTCGTGGACCGGGGAGATATACTGGTCCTTATTTTGGAGGCAGGGTGCGTCATGGTAGAGGTTTTGTCGGGTCAGCCAGCTCAGTTTGCATCTCAGAGTTCCCACAGAGTTTC